AATAAAAATAAAAAAAACTTCCACAGCACTAGGAGAGAGATGCTTTGCAGAAAGCTTTTACATGACTTACGTGCTTTGAGTCTCAGTTCCTATGAAAAGAGTTAAAGTGAAGTAGCCTGGAGTAACTACTGCTGTTACTGTCATCTTTAAGAGACTGGCAGGGCCAGGTTCTTGCTGTCCCCAAAGAGCATTTCCTGGATGTTGATTTACACTCAGGCTTTTGAAACTGTTATCTCCTTTAAATGAAAATTCCTGTTTTTACCTAGCACCTTCCATTAAACTATTCTTCATAATCTCTAGTTTCCTGGAGGGGAAACATATTCAATATAGTATTCACACAAACACGGAAGACATTTTTTGAAAAAACTTTTGCTCTCAATATTTCATCTGGTGAAGCAATTTTTTTTATTCCCAACATTTTGCCTTATACATGAAATACACCTGATGATTTTGAAACATGGGTTTGTTTATTATCTTCTAGAATCATGACTACTTCAGGAAGAAGCAGACAAAGAGCTGGGAGAAAGTGCTGTGTAGCCAGTGTGGTTTCTTCTCTCAGCTGAGCTGAGCTTCATCTGGCTTCATGTCACAAACAGCTTGGATCTGCGTGCAGAACTTCTGGACTCTCTTCCCTGGTGTGGGCCTTCTCTTCCATCAGATGTTCACAGAGGCAATTCTTCCCCGGCAGCGTTTTCCCTAATACCCCAAAGGCCAGGGTAGAGCTCTTTGCACAGTACCCTAATTCCCTGCTTGCTCATTTCTTCCCCCTCCCCCGCCACTAAACTTCTATCCTCATGAGGCCAAAACCCACATCAGCTCTACACACAGCTGTGACCTCGTTCTAGTGCTCAATGAATATCGGTTGAATGAATGAATGAAAAGCATATTACATTTTTCATGCTTTTTTGGTGTCCATGACAAGAAGCCTTTTTTGGTTCTGCTTATTAGAAACTTATCTTTAATTTCCTCTAGAAAATTACGGTGATAATGCCAACCTTGTAAGGCACTTGTAAGTGGGTATGAGTACGCCGTTCTCAACCGGGGGTGATTTTGTTACCCCAGGGGACATATATACGGCAGTGTTGGGGGACATTGTAGATGCACACTGCGGCCCTACAGCGAAGAGTTATTCGGCACAAAATGTCAGTAGTGCCAAGGTTGAGAAACTCTGGGTTAGGTGAAAGTCATAGAACTTGGTAGGTCAAAGGCGATGCTATTTTGTTCTACATATTGGAGTTCACCTCTTTGAACATCATTAATAATAATGACACAGAAAATGATAGTTTATTATGTTCTTGCCATGTTCAAGCACCTTATAAGATTTTCATAAGTATTATTTTATTTAATCCTCTCAACGGTGCTGTGAGTTAGGGACGATTATTATCCTCAGTTTTCAGATTAGGAAACTGAGCCTTGAAAGCTCAAATATATATCCAAGATGCTGCTGCTGCTTGGTGACAAAGTAGGATGAGAACACAGGGCCTGAGTTTCTGACCATTATGTTATCTTGCTTTCTGTATAAGCGTGGTCTCCAGCTTAACATCTAAGCGGATCTCTGCCCTCAGTGTTCAGTAGGAACCACAGCTGCAAATACAGAGGGAATTTAAATTTTAAAATTTAAATAGCATCATTATGGCCTAGGTGTTTGTAATTTTACACTTCTACTAATTTGAACAAAGATACAGTATGATGACCGACAGGCATAGGCTTTTGTTGATCTAAGGATCAGAACAAATCTGCTATATGCTGTTATTCCGTGGGATTCCCAAGAAGCTCAAAGAAAGCTCTCAGAGTTTATTTTCTTTCAAAATCGAACTTGTCATAGCCGATCAACACATTGTGATCTAGATGCGTCTTTTCTTCTATTAAGGTGTATGAACAGTGACAGTTTGCCCCGTGTAATCTTATTAGGAGCTTTCTTCGGGATCACATCATCTTCTTACATAATTATAAAAGAGCCACTCAGGAGTAAAATATGCCTGCAAGAGAGCAAGATGGGGACAGAGGGTTGATGGGGCCTGTTCTCTCCTTACTGAGGACACAGTTCAGGCAAGTGGAAAATTTACAATTTGGATGCACAATAATGGTTTCTACGTCCATCCCTGAGTCCGTGGTTAACTCCCAATGATAATGTCCTTGAGGCTGTTAGCTGATGAACTTTGAGTAATGCCTATCATCCTCGAGTATTGCTTTGTTTCATAGGTCCTCAAAACTTGGCTTGGAGAGACAATTTAGAAGCCTCTATTCTTTTTAGGAAGGAACTTAGAGACCCTCAGACTGCTGGTTTTCTCACTTAGGACATTCTGTTCATCATGTGCTACTGTCACACTTTGAAGATTACTGTGAAATACTCAAAAACATATTAGATTCTATTCTTAAATCTCACTTTTCTGCCTCCTCTGAAGACTAAAGCTAATAGCACCGCATGGTTTTTTTTGTTCTTAAACACTTTATAAAAGTGAGCTCCTCTGATTGCAAATAACTGTGCATTTGTATCCAGATAAACATTTTCCCTCTGAGGCCAAGTGACAGATATAGTCATTGCACTGCTCCTGGAAGAAGTAATTTACATATAAGATGTAATTTGAGACTGTCTCCTGGGGACAAAAGCGATTAGTATGCCTTAGGCCTTTACTCTTCTCAAAACAGTCATGTGACATGCTCTTGCCTTTATTTTATATTGAGTAAATTAAAACATGAATGATGAAATAAGACATCAGGGGTGTTTAGGGCAGTGTTTCCCAAACTATAATGTGCTCACCCGAGGCTCTTGCTAAGAAGCAGATTCCGGGCCCTGAGGTGCTGTTTCTGCCGCTTCCCAAGTCGGGATCGTGGTGCCGGACCGAAGACCATGCTTAAGTAGCAGGATATTAGGGAACATTAAGATCGCTTGAAACCTCAGCTAAGGACGGCATCAAGCTGATGGCCTTAAACTCATTTTTCCTATGCTTACCTTTCATTGTATAAATGATTCTTTAAGCATACACAGAGATTTCTTTCAGAGGGAATGACTCCCTTTCTGTGGCAAACCATATATTTGCAAGGATTTTTTTTTAATTATATAATCCTTGAATTTTAATAAAGCATCATATCACATCTCCCTGTTTTTTCCTGGAAAGAGAGTCTCCTCCCGCCCCCTTTTTAAGTTTCCTAAACAATAAATGATGCATTTTACTATTTCTGGTCATCAAAGGCATTTTTTTTACATGATTTATAATCTTTGGAATTGTAGAACAAATTTACAATATCCTTGACACTTAAACAACATTTCCACTGGTATTTTTTTTTCTTTTTATATTATAATT